GGCGCCGCCCTGGCTCCAGGCGCTACTACACCTCCGCACCCACCCAAATCCACCCCCTCTGTCCCGGCCGCCGCAAGCGCAAGCGAGACCGATCCGCCTCACCGCACCCCCGCCTCGCCCCTCCCCGCCTTAGAGAGAGGGGGGGGGGGTTGAAAGAGAGGGCACGAGAGCGAAAGGAAGAGAGAGGGAAACAGAGAGGGAGATAGGGGGATGGGGAGATAGAGAGGTAGGGTAGGGAAAGGGTGGAAGACGGGGTCTGATTCTGATCAGATGGGGATGGGGGTTAGCGCGGCTCGCCCTTAGCAATGGTCCGCACCTTCTAGCAGCAGCCCCTTTTAAAAAGAAATCATTATTCGCTCTACATTTGTACAATAAAGGCCCCTGCTGCTGAAATGCCGGCTAAAATAATTACTTTTACCCAGCCTCACGAAGAAAGAGAGAAACCGAAGGAGAAACCCCCTGTTAATTTATTTTCCTTTCGAGAGGGAGGGGGAACGAGGGAGCGTACTTTTGCATGATATATACCTCTTTCCCTGCCGTGTGCCTAAACAAATCGCCCCTAACGAGCTCTGGGTTCAAATACGACGGTGAGATATTCTTTTTGGGATAAAAGGAATAAAAGAAGGGAGTGTAAGCACACGCGCCAGCCGACGCCGACCTCAATCGCAATACGTATGCAAGCATGTCACACCTTTTTTCTCTTTGTTATTGCATTTCTCTCTTTCTGTCTCTCCCTCCCTCTCCCTCTCCACCCCACCCCCTCTTTTTCTCTCTCTTCTACGTCATCACGGCGCACTTGTCGAGGATAACGAAATCCTATTCATAGCGGTCAGACCATTTCATGCGGATGCGGATTTTTTTTTGTTTTTAAATTTTAAACAAGAGTTTCACCTCCACGCTTTTAGTCAAATGTATTTTCAACAAACTTTATGAAAACGTGCATGCACAGAGGAGGAATCCTCACCTTCACTATACGAAAGTTGGCGGGGTGTTACACGATAGATAAATAAACCTTCCGTGCACCCGTGCATGCGTGTTGGTCTACGCATTTGTTTCAACGGGGCACAGCGACACCACCCGCTGTACTACAAAAAGCGCGAGTTTGTCAGCCAGAGCAGCAAAAGTTTCTCGGGCCAAACCCCCGCGCAAATTTACTAAAAATTTCACGCCGAATTGCGGGCGTTTCTCTTGCGGCTTTATGGCCGGGTCGGGCCGCCGGGCTGGGAGGGCCCCGCACCGCGCGCGTACCGCTTTTATAGCCTTCTTGTAGCGGAGCGGAGTGGCGTCGCGACGGAGCGCAACAACAGCAGCGCCAGCAGAGCGCCGCCCCACCAGGGCACAGCCCGGGCCCATAGCCCCTAATTTGGGCTCGGGCCACTCTTTTCCCCTCCTCATCTCATTCCGTCGCCCCGCTCCGCCCCGCCATACCACGCATCATCCCCCGACCCGCGGCGACACGCCCCTTCCCTCTTTAGTTCATTCCGTCAAGTTGCGGCTGGAAAAGAGAAAAAAAAAGAACGAGAAAAAAAAGTGGCTGTTTTGTCAAAGTTTCGCGGTCGCGTCTCGTTTTAAAACCACCAACGTAGCGCGCTTGGCCGCCGCCGCGGTCTCATGGTGTCGCATACAATTCAGGGGTTCTAAGCAAAGTCAGCACAAGCACCGGAAAAGCAAAGGTAAGGAATCGCAGTAGCGCCTTTAAAAGGGCGTTAGAAGTAGGCAATTACAATTTGGCATGCTCAAGCTTGGTAAGCCCATGCCCTTGTATTATTAACAATAAGTCCGTCGTCGTTTAAAGTGGACCCCTGACCCCCCCCCCCTCCCGGACGGTAGGTCAATGACACCAGCGCTCGCACCAGCGACAGGCTGGTCACCACCGAGAATCTCTGGAGGGGTTGCCGCCCTGCAGGGCCTGGCCGGGAATACCGTACACCAGGCGAGCCAACTTCCAAATGGCTTCTCGTCCCTCCGTCCCTTCTCTTTCTGCCCTCGTCCTCCCACTCACTCCTCACCCCCACATATCACCCCTCCACACACGCACGCACACACACACCGCCCCTGACCCACTTAGGGGGTTGCACACAGGGGTAGTTAGTGCCGAGGCAGTCTTAGGCAATTATCCACCCATCCCCGTCATAATGCATACGCGACACAGCCCCGCAGCAGGGAGTGGCAGGGATGGGGCTGGGTGTGGTGGGGTGTGGCGGGGTGTGGCGGGGTGTGGCGGGATGGGGCGGGATGGGGCAGGGATCTGCAGCAGCGGCAGCAGCAGCGACACTGTAGAGCACGCCAGCGGCACCCTACCCCATCCCCACTCTGCCATAAAAAGCGGAGAAGGGTGCTGGTGCTGAGGCATCCCTCACAGAGCAAAGCCAGCAGCAGGGCACAACCCGGGAGGGGCTGCTAGAACCGTTGCCTTCCCCTCCTCCCCTCCCCACCCGCCCCTTTCCCTTCCTCCGCACTTAGATTTTTTTTTTTAAATGTCGATTTATTGATAGGGGTGACAAATGAAAAACTGTTGCGGGGATTTGTACCAGATGGCTGATTAACCCCGCTGTCCACGGCGCCTTAGGGCTGAAGGAGTAGGCAACCCGCCCGCATTCGTGCATGCGGTACAGCATAACCACAGAAGTGAGCGGGGTTAATCAGCCATCTGGTACAAATCCCCGCAAAGAGCGAGCTTCGCGAGCTATAGACATCACTTCTTCGACAGGTGAGAGAGAGGTCGGTGCGGGTCGGGGTATAGGCATTTAGCTCGCATAGCTCGCTCTCTGCGGGGCTTAGAACGTTAAACGTCGCTATCATGACTAGTCTTTTGTTCGGCAGAGACCCCCGCGCCCCGCCCAGCCCCGCCCCGCCAGAACGGGCGATGCACTTGACGAGGACCCACTAATCAGCCGTGTTCGCGGTGCTCCCGGCCGCACAACAGCGTGCGACCGCACCTCCTTCCGCCACCAGATAAAAATACGAGTGATGAAGAAAAAGAAAACAACAAAAAAGGAAACTGCTTGACCTTTCGCGGGACCCTCTCGGGTACCCTGTCGGTCGCCTGTTCCCCCGTGGGACGAGCACATGCACAGACAAGTGCGCAGCGCTGCAGCGCGCTGCAACGTCCTTGGGGAGCAGAGCTGGGCGGAACTGCAAGCGAGGTGACGCCCTTCCTTATTCGCTTGTTGAATGGGCAGAGGGGCACAACCGGTGGACTGTGCAGTCCCATGTCCAGCCACGGGGCTATAACAGGAATTCGCAAGCCCGAAATGCAATCGGATACAAATAACAGAGTGTGGGCAAAGGGCAAACTTTCCACTAGTGTTTTAGGCATTCCCCTTCTCAGCGAAAATCTCAAATATGACAGTTTAACACATATTTATGCCAGTATTTTAGGTGTCTTTAATGAATCTCGGGCCCACGTACCATGCCACATAAAGAGTAGTGTGCTCATACAAGGTTCATTGTTGATTAAAAGTATCATAAATAAAATGCAGAAGAGAATAAGTAACTCTTGTTACATGTCACATAACAATACGGACCTAACAGAGGAAATACAGCTAATACAGGAGGACTAAAAACTTTCAAATGTGCTAGAGACTCATTTGTATTCAAATATGAATTTTCAAGCAAAATTGTTGGGTAGCCTGAGCCTGTATCACATACATCGCACAGTCAATATTCCTTCAATACTTATCTAATACCCCCCTCCCCTACAAAAGGAAAAATACTTAATCTTATAGCATAAGTACACATGATTGGTTGTAAAACCAAATTCATTAACTATCAACCGTATAAGGTAAGGCTTGAATGAGAACGCTTTAACTCGGGCAATCTGGTGGTGTACACCTACCCTGGCAATCTTAACACAATCTTTGGAATGTGAGAGGCAAAGCTATGCTTTTGACCTATTTGCAGGCATCTGCCACAGAAGCCTAAACATGGTTGCCACAAACTTTTCATTTCCATTTTCCCTGAGTTTTCCCTGATTTCCAGACCATTTCTCCCCAAATTTCCCTGAGTTTTAAGCACCATTCCTGGTGAAGTACTGGGACAAACAAATACCCCTGACTGTAATACAAGACCGCGAGCGAAGCGAGCGCGAAAACTTTTGGAACAAAACACCCTACAGGGACGTCAAAATGTGTATATTTGACCTACACAGCGAATAGACTGTAGTTTGGGGACCAGTCAGACCAAATTTCCCTGACTTTTTTTCATTTTCCCTGAGTTTTCCCTGATTTCCCTGACAGTTTTTTATTTCCCTGAGTTTTCCAGGTTTTTAAGGTTTTCCAGAGTTGTGGCAACCATGCTAAATATATTACAAGCAATCTGTCTAAGCTGTTGGAAAGTAATCAAAATGTGGCAATCTTAGCAAGCTGGTGTACACTCTACAAAGGAGTTACGGGCCAGTTGGGATTTCATCAGAAAGTACTAAGATGGTATGAAATTTGCTGTTTCAATTTACTACAACCACTAAGGCCTTAATTCACAAGGGATTAGAGGTATTAAGTGTCAAACTTCTGACTATCTGCACTTTCCCTCACAAAAAATTGAATGAAAAGTATGTTAAATTAATTATAAACTCATGTTAAACTAGTATTCGAATCAATATCAAGTGCTCTGACTGTTTAATTCATAGAAAAGAGCGTCAAAAACCCATCAAATGATGCATCAAAACAAAGCCTAGAAAGAATTATAACCTCATCTTGTTGACGTTTAATATTCATGAACTGACGAATCGGGAACATAATTTTCATGACCTTTGAGGGCCAAGTCCTCTAGGGTAAACTTCCGAAATCACTAGTAATGAGAGACGGACATGCAATACATATATGAATCCACAAATACCCTAAACAGCAGCCGATTGTCAAAACGTCAACTGTGTTTTCAGTTGGCAACTATGCATAGCTTCTGCTGGGTGCCGCTTCTCGGCAGGTGCTTTTTCTACCTCCAGCAGCTTGGGTCGAGCTGACAAGGGTATGCCACTGGCCAGAAAATCATTCACCACTCACCAAATGCAGGATGGTGTTGACAACTTCTCTGTTGGAGACCTGGCCCACCTCAATGAGCCCGATCAAGACCGCAAACTTGAGTCCGTCGTTCATCGCCATTCTAACCACGTCCTCCGGCCGCTTTATTTCGGGCAGCGCCGCTGCGGCTGGCTCAGCCATGGCTGCCCAAAGTCTTAACCTTGGCCACACAATCGACAAATATTATCAAAACGCGACCGAAATCAGATTTTTACGCCGAAATTCGCACCGTCACATGATAACCAGACACGGTCCCATCTTCCATGTTGGAAACTGACGGGTTGCCGAAATGGCCAACCGAACTAGGTTCTGTCTCTTCAAATCCCCTAACTACACTTAGCAAATAAGATACCGTTTTCAATACTTTGGAACCTAAATTATTTCTTTGAATGTACATTGTGACTGAAATCAATAAAATGATATGGTTTTTGGAGGTTAAGTAAACAAATAGAGTATCTAGAAGCAGCAGTGACTTGTTTGTCATGTTGGTTAAAGAACGACAGGTGTCTAGGGACACCACCCCACCTAGCGCGCACTTCAAAATTATCGATCTGCGTGCAAACACGCTATTGAGTGGTGGTAATTTCAGTATTTCTTACCCTTATTTACTGTAGTAGCACTTCAGATTTTGATGTGAACGCGAGATTGCTTCACACTCCCGGCCCGGAACATAGGGCTGTAATGTGCATAATTGTGTGGAATCCAAACAGGTACCGCAGGTACCCTAACATGAAAAGTTGATAAGATGCTAGAAATCTGATTTTGGACAAAATTGTTAATGGCTGGAAAATTCATGTTAATATTCAGCTAACTTCCTAGGAATGTGAAAAAACATACAGCGAATAGATCCGCCTTCGCGGCTTAAGGTGTTAACGTTGTGCTGACAGCGCCACAGCGCCCTCTCTGTGCAATCTTCTCAGCTCTTTCCCTTCTTTCCCCTTCTCCGTCTATCCCTCTCCCTCTCTCCTCCCCATCCTCCCCGCCTCCCCCAACCTCTCATCCTCTCCTCTCTCCCAAGTCGAAGTCGGCTGCATCCGCTTGCTTACGCCCAACGGCACCGCACAGAACAAGTTCATTCAAAACAAAAATGGCATCGGCGGAGGTTGAGCGAGTTCGCGTAAGTTCCACAAAGGTATTTATTTCCTCTTTTAGAAAGCATAGGTGGATTTCGCTGTATGTCGGCCTATGTTTCTGTGCGTTTGGCTCTTCATGGTGAAATTTGTGAGGCCGAATGACGTCCAAATTAGCTGGAAGAAGTCTGACAGCGGCAGGGCATCGCCCTTCCGCTTCAAGTCGTTGTATTTTTATTGATAGGTTTTGTGGGTTGGTGCGGATTTCTTAACAGTGAAACAATAGTGACTTTCATGTTTAGTTTATTCTCTATATTTTTGGCCCCCCACTTATTAAAACCTAATTTAGAACACTTCTCTTCGCGTCCTAACCTAAAATGTCAAAAGGTTGGGACACTAACAGACTAAAACTCCATTTCTTCAAGTTCTGAGTTAAATACCTCTGTTTTCTAGACAATAAACATCGTGCGCACACTTTTTAATGCCAATGAATTAATCTCTTATCAAGCTTACATACACGTAAGTTCTATAATCATCACGAAGCAGGAGTAAGAACACAATTACAGCGCACATTATTGTAAGAAATAGGTGCTGTACATATTCTTTTGTAAATAGTGCCACATCATGAAATAATGTCAGATTTTGCGTGTATTGTACTGTCCACATTGTATTTTACTAAACTTAGTATTTTAGACGTAACAAAAAAGAAATGTTTTGGCATTTTTCAAAATTCAAATTGCCTTTTTATTCACAGCCTCCTTTACCAGATCCCTCAACTAAGCCAGTTGTCGGGAAGGTACGTCAGGTAGGCTAAACTTCAGATCTGCCGCCTTCACGTGTTAGTCAATAGGAATGAGTAAATCCGTATTTCTCTCTCTTTTTTTTTTTTTTTTTGTAACACTTGGTCATGTTAGGCTTTATCAAAAAGCCTGTACATTACAGTCCAACTTCTTAGCATGGATTATTTGTACAAAGCTATAAACTAGCTATTTGTAAACTTAAAGACATAGTAGCATGAATGCACTGCTTGCTGTCTTTTCTTTGCAATCACATGTCATTAAATGTTTGATAAAAGTGCTTATTTATCCATGTTGCTTTTCCATTTGTTCAAGGGGGCGTTATTAAGTTTACTTTATTTTTGCCATGTTTCTGATTTTTGCTTAGGCATATTTTGACCACAAGCAATTATGTGTAAAAGTGTTTGCACTATTATCATTCAACCGTATCTGTATAACTTAATCAGGCATGTTGGCGCACATTCAGCTGTCTGCAAAATTTTAGTGCACACCTCTGTAACTTTAACTTTCTTTTTCTTTCACTAATTATAATGTTGATTTTCAGGTTGATGGACCTATTCGCAACCTCAAGTTGTCAGGACATGTTGGATTTGACAGCCTTCCTGACCAGCTTGTTAACAAGTCAGTGCAAAATGGATTCATCTTCAACATCCTCTGTATTGGTAAGAACATTTCCAATCAACCATTCTTGCTTTTTATTTTCTCAAGATAAAATTTTTTAATTGAACTTCTTGTCCCTTCTTTTAGGTGAAACTGGACTTGGAAAATCAACCCTTATGGACTCTCTTTTCAACACCAGCTTTGAATCATCAGCGAGTCCACATTCTCTCCCTTCTGTAAAATTGAAGGCACATACTTACGAGTTGCAAGAAAGCAATGTTCGTCTGAAGGTATAAAATATATCACACACTTCTCTTTTATTATATTTTTTACATTATTTCAAAAGAGTACTACCATTTTCTTACTCTTACAGCTCACAATTGTTGATACTGTGGGTTATGGTGACCAAATAAATAAGGAAGATAGTTTTAAGGCTATTGTTGATTACATTGATGCTCAATTTGAATCATATCTTCAAGAGGAGTTAAAAATCAAGCGTTCTCTTGCCACTTTTCATGACACTCGTATTCATGTTTGCCTCTACTTTATTTGCCCAACAGGTCATGGGTATGTATTTCCCCTAAATTTAAGAGCAGTTCTATTCTTTCAATATAACCATACTTAAAGTTGTACACTCTCTTTTTATAGATTGAAGTCTATTGACTTGATGTGTATGAAGAAATTGGACACAAAAGTGAACATTATTCCAATCATTGCTAAAGCTGACACTATTTCCAAGACAGAATTACAGAAGTTTAAGGTTTGTAATCTTGCCTTTGTATTGATCAGTTGGCCCCTACTTTGACTAATTACCTCATGTAAATGTAGGAAAAAATTGTACACGAACTTTCCAACAATGGAGTTCAAATTTACCAATTTCCTGTTGATGATGAAAATGTCACAGAAGTCAATGCACAAATGAACTCTCATGTTCCCTTTGCTGTTGTTGGGAGTACTGACTTTGTGAGAGTTGGTAACAAAATGATGCGTTCAAGGCAATATCCGTGGGGCACAGTACAAGGTATGAACCAAACTATAATTACTTATAAATATTTTGTATGTGTTTGTTCTCTGTATAATTTTACCCATTCTTTTCGTATAGTGGAAAACGAAAGTCATTGTGACTTCGTGAAACTGAGAGAAATGCTTATTAGGACTAACATGGAAGACATGCGTGAAAAAACACACATGCGCCACTATGAGCTATACCGGAAGAAACGTCTAGAGCAGGTATTTATCTATAAACTGTATCCTAGTTTTGAATCTATACATTTTTTATTTATATTATCTTACACTATGACTGAAACTATATTTACTTCTCTTAGATGGGCTTCACTGATGTTGATTCAGACAACAAACCAGTAAGTTTCCAACAGTCCTTTGAGCAAAAGCGTTCCCACCACCTACAAGAACTTCAACAAAAAGAAGATGAAATGAGGCAGATGTTTGTCAACAGAGTTAAGGAAAAGGAGCTTGAGCTGAAAGATGAAGAGAAAGATGTATGTATCTACACTCTAAAATTCTGATTGTGTCTATGTCAACTTGTTTCCACTCTACGACAAAAGATAAATCTCTTCAAATTCTTTTTCAGCTACATTCCAAATTTGATAAGCTAAAGAAAGACCACTCAGAGGAGAAACGCAAATTAGATGAGTTGCGTAAAACAATGGAGGAAGACATCATTGAGTTTAACCGCCGCAAAACTCAGATAGCACAACAGCAGGCTTTGAGTTCTAGCCATCACACTTTGACTCTAGGAAAAAGCAAAAAAAAGTAAATCTGAATGGATAGTTGGGGTTATTCACACTCTTACACACGGGATGTAGTTTACCATCATTTGAGTTCATCCCAACCAAAAATTAAATTTACTCTTAAATTTTTCAAGTATGTGATGTGTAAGAATTTTGTGTTTGGCCAGAATCAAGATGTTCTTGTGGGTTGCTCAGTATTTACAGTATGATTTTCCTCCTAAGCCCCAAGTAATGTGTAGTTCAAGTTTTAAAGAGCATCAGCTGTTAATTTGCAACAGCTTAAACTCTTTGTAGAACGTAAAGTAGTCATCTTGAAATTTTTAGCTTGTGCTTTTCTTTTTCCCCTTGTTTTTTCTCTTTCTCCTCCCTCCAGCCATTGTTAATTTATTATCTGTATAATTGCTCTGTTGATGTGTTAAGATTTGCACTCTATTCCATGAACATGTAGCAATTTCCAGCTACTTTATGAAATTCTCTCAACTGTAGCATGATGATTAACTCAAGTGCTTTTGAACCATTATTTTTATTAGTTTGAATTTCACTTCTACTTTACCATTCCTTTCTAAACCAGAAAGTTTCACTTTTCTCATTATGTTTGATCAAACTTCTACATTTCTATGAAAGATCTGATGTTTTGTTTTATAAGTTTTTAAAGTTGTTTCAATCTAAAATGAATCTCTCTTTATTTAATTTTATTCAGTTTTGGGAGGCAACAAGGGCTTTTAACATTTATGTGACTTTCTTTTACGTGATTTTTATATGCCTCCTGTACTGATGATCAAGTTCTGCACTAAAATTATCCATGGAAAGCAGTGAATGAATTTTAAATTGGTACAATTTTACATGCATGTGAGTTTTTATTAACCAGTCCTTGATTGTACTTTGATATTACAAGTATTACAATATTTATGTTATTGCATGGATCATGTAATGTATTTCCTTATTTTCTTCCATGTTAACTATAAGAGTATTTTTACATTTTCCGTATATCTATCCCTATGGACTCCTCTTTTGACTAGTGGTGGCAGATGTTCATCCAAGCAATATCTTTTAGTGGACCTCATTTATCAAGCTTATACCAAATAGATACATTGCTCTTAACTAACATTTTAGACTTAGGTTGAAGACCTTGGAAGTTGTCAAATAAAATTTAATTGTAATAATTTTGAACCTTGACTTGTTATTGGAGTGCCCTTATGTTACTACTTCATCTGTAGGGCAGAAACTGCGAATGTTTCCTGAACGCCCAATGTCAATCCGCAGAGAAAAACATTATGCTTGAGAACAGGCTCAAGCGTGTTTGCGTGATTTGCGTCCTCCACCCTGACGTTTTCGTGACAATTTTTTGTTTTGAAATTGCTTTGAAGTTGAAGCATCACCTAGATTCCCCGGTGTCGCTTTCGAGAGCTGAAGTGTGGTTTCTAGCTCAGCCGCTAGGGGTGCTAGCGGTGCCAGAGGTTTTCGCGCGTCGATTTTCTGCTGTTTTTTCTTTTATGTCGTCTGCTTTCGCCGCTGCCAACTGCCAAAGTATTAATTTATGAAATATTGGGAGGTTTAATATTAATTTGCATAATATTGTAGATAAAATCTTGTATAATTTAAAAATACTTTTGCAAACAGACCTTTAGGAAAAGCCTTATTATGACTCAAATAATCACATTTGAAAACATTTTCTTGCGTGTGGCTGCGTTATCGAACTCCTTTTAAAAATGCTTGAACATCAACAAACACGCCTGAAAAGTGAAAAGTTTTGACTTGACTTGGCGTTTCATAAATGTTTGTTGTGGGTTTTTTGTGTGTATTGTGATTGTTACGCCGCATGTGTCAACAATCAGCTCCCCAATTGCTGTTGTATTAAATTATCACTTAGGCAAACTCATCCGCCCAGAAAATGGCGAATCTCTCAGCTTATCAACGATTACGAAAAGCCAACCTGAACGAGAATACGGAGGTGTTGCTGCAGTACGGCTTGCAGGCGCCGGTAATTTTAATTTGTCTGATTGACTTTTGTGATTTATTTTTAGAACTTGTTTTGCATCTCATTTGTGGACGATTAACGAAATAATTAGCCGGCATGTCTTCATGTCCATCTTAGGTGGTAGAAACGAGTTCTTTGACAATACTCAATACTGAAGAGCGAAAGAAGAAATCTGCACCTAAACCCAAACCGGCTAAGAAGAAGCTAAAGGAAAAATTCCAGTTTGTTGGAAGGCGGACATCATTCCGAGTGCGCTTGAAGGTTCAGGTAAGTTCATCTGTACCACTTTTAGCTCATTTTCTTCTGACACACAAATTACCAATGAAATACTCAAATTCTAACTGATGCACTATGATTCTAATCTGATTCAGCAAGAATGTTACGAGGACTATGAATCCCTGAAGGATAGTGATGAGGAAGAGCAAGACGAAGTGCAGCTCATGAAAAATCTTAGTCAACCAAATCGTAATGTTGCTCGCCCTCCACGTCCAAATACTTACGGATCCATAGATGGTATACCACATTTTATTGTTCTATATTCTACGTGATTGATAGTGACATCTTAATTTTCATGTTTATTATTTGACAATGCAGGTGTTAGAGTTGGAACTTGGTGGGAAACACGTCTAGACTGTAATTATGATGGCATACATAGACCAACTGTTGCTGGCATCCATCAAGGTCCAGATGGTGCCTACTCTGTTGCACTCTCTGGCGGATATGAAGATGATGTGGATCTGGGAGACTCTTTTACCTATACTGGAGAGGGTGGACGAGATTTAAAGGTAATCACACATTTGTTGTGTGTGTTTCCTGGTGTAGTGGAATAACTTGTAGTTATCCTACAATTTATGTATTCTGTCATTAGGGAACAGCAAATAATCCAAAGAATTTAAGGACTGCTCCCCAGTCGAAAGACCAGCAATTGGTGAGAGGAAACTTAGCCTTGTCAAGGAATGTGGAGACAGGAAATCCTGTTCGAGTTATTCGTGGATACAAGTTAAACAGCAAGTTTGCCCCTGAAAGAGGATACCGTTACGATGGTACAGTACTGCTTTCGAACCTTCAATATATCTGCACAAGGAAACGCTGAAGCATTTTCCTTATTCTCTAAATTTTTGTTGCTTTCAGGCCTGTACAACATTACAAAATTCTGGGAATCTTATGGAAAATCAGGTTTTAAAGTATACAAGTTTGCATTCCAGCGATGTGATCCAGAGCCAGCTCCATGGCACCAAAGTACCAGTCCACCGAAGGTAAAAATATCTTGAAGCTGTTCTCTATTCTAGTTCTTCACTGACCATGATTTTCTCACATGTTTTTGTTTGGTTTGCAGGCAAGAACTGATGGTACAGAAGAAGTAGAGAAGGAAAGTGAAGACAGTTGTAACAGTTCTAATTCAAGTCAAGTAATGAAGTCACCTGTTAAGAGAGCATCCTGTTCTTTTCTGTCTGAGGAGACTGATTGGCATGGTTGGCCTAATGCATATGATCTTCCTAAAATAGGCTGTTTAAGTATTAAGTGTGGTGATGGAGAAGAAAAGTTGTGCTTAACTGGAGATGCTTGGATACTAGCAGGAGACTTGACCCAAAATTCTACTGTCACTATGTCTTGTGCAGATAACCACAAGAACTCTAGAATAAAAAGTGCTAAACGTGTAACTTTTGATGATGAAGTTAAATCGAATAACCCATATGAGCTGAATGAATATGACTGTAAGTTAGGTATGACATGTGACTGGTTAGGGTGGAGTGAAGAGGGCTTGTCTATTCTCGATTGCCCCTCAACTTTCAATTGTACTTTACATGATAATTGTTAAGCTTGATGAATGGCAATTCTTTTAAAACAATATTTTTTCTCTCTAATATTTGTTATTTCAAAATATTTTATATGTGTAGAAACTGCATGTTTTATTCATTGGGTGTAGTTAAGTGATTCTTTCCGTATCTTTGACATCTCTCAAATTTTGCATCTTTGTAACTGACTTGAAAGCAATGTGTTCTCATTCCCATGCAATATCTGAAAGTCAATATAATAATTTTTATTTTAGCAGAAGGTTTTTGTAGAAATGAATTGCTCTTATATCCAAACCCATCAATTTATTAAGACAAAAAGAAATTAACATTGAAGACACAAAAAGAAATATATCACAACACTTCTCCAGCTTAATTTTGAGATTCTACTTGAACAGATTTTGGACCCTGTGATGATCTGTGGTATCACAATAACATTTCAAACTTGTATAACTGATAATAATTATTACATATCACAATGCAGATGACAAAATATTGAAGACATTGGAAATATACTCATAATTATTTGTTCAGGTCATATACTAAACCTCAATACACTTTTGGCCACTTCTCCTAAAACAAATTTTGTAAGCTTAGCGTAGTTTCAATGACTAGCAGGTCCATGGCATTGATACTAGAATTAGATTCTTCGCATGCATTCTAAACAATTTAAATACATTTTTGTATTAACAAATTTATTGATTACCACAGTGAACTAATGGAAGCTAAACACAGAAAAAACTCCAAAATGTCAATCAGTCTTAAGCCATGGTTAAATGACAGCAAGCAAAATTCATTGAAGTGCATATTCTTAACTTCCACTTTAAAAGGGAAAAGCACTGGCAGCTTTCTGAAGATTTTACCAATATTTATCTAGTATGGTCAACTTCTGATCAGTCTAAAGGCTCTGCAATTTCAAAACCAACCACTAAGTGACATAAGTATATCATGAACCACAGAGCTGAATACTGCATAGGAATATACCTAAGATAATCTCAGTAATACAACACATAAATATATGGCGGCTCTAAATTGATGAACTACAATGCAGTCTTTGATTGAAATATATAACACTATGTAAGTGTTCACACACATATCAGTTTACAGGTGGACATGAAATATAGTAATTTTATCGTTGCTCTATAGTAATCACAGGAGATCAAGAGATAATCCTCAAAATGCTAACAGTTTAAAGAAACTCTTGATGGGAGTTAGCCATAACAGAATATGATTCATTCAATAAATCCACTTCCATTTCAATAAATAGAACAAAACAACATGTTCTACTACTATCACTAGTGATTTTTTGAATTAAATTTCAGTCCTTAAATTTGAAATTATACCAAAATATTCTAGTAATGCTGAGTGAATCAGCTTGTCATAGGCATAAAATGAAAGGTGACCTACTTTGAGCCAGCTGTAATGAATATTTTTGTAGGTAAATATATGTTACTTCCAGTCTTGTGAAATCAAAGTAGAAGGTAATAAGAGATAAATAGTGATATGAAATATAAATCTCATAATGCAACAAACATTTTGCTAATAACTAGATATATACCTAGATTAATTATAACAAGGAGAAACAACAAGAAAAAAAGAAAAAGTTACTGGACCCTTAATCACAAGGGAACAAAAAACCTGAAAAAACTGTTGTTCCTTGTACAATATTAGGGTTTCCTTACACAAATATAGGTGATATTAGTAAGGTTGATGCCTTGAAAACTGGCGATTATTTCGAGGTTTACTGTTGCCGTTACCATTACCCCCGTAAGAGCCTTGGCTGTCGTAACCACCATAATTGTCATATGATGAATAACTTCCATAATCATAACCATTACCATAATTGCTATAGCCGTAACTGTCATAGCCATAGCCCGATCCACCATACCCTTGGCCCCAAGCACCCATTCTTCCTCCTCCTCCTCCTCCACCACCACCACCACCGAATCGTCCCATTTCAGGATTGGCACGGACTTTCTTTACATCAACCTCTTTTCCATTGATGAACTGCTTAGGGGTTTTCAGAACGTTTAGCATGGTGTCCTTAGACTCAAAAGTGACAAAACAGAAACCTTTGCGTTGATTCTTCTTCTTGTCAAAAGGAGCTTGGAACTCAACAATAGTACCATATTGAGAGAAGTAACCTTTGATGTCGTCATCAGAGATTTCAGGGGTGAGTCCACCAACAAACACCTTGCCTTGCTGAGCTTTCTTCGACACCCGCTTTGGGTCCACTTTCCGTTTTTGAATGTAGTGGTCACCAGCGGCTAAGAGCTTATCAATGGTCTTCGGGTTGTTGAAGACGATGAAAGCGAAGCCCCTAGATTGTCCCGTGAACTGGTCGATTTTCACGGTAACGCTCTCAATCTCGCCGAACTGACCGAAGTACTCCTTCAGTTCGCGGTCTGTAGTTTGTCTGCTTAGGCCACCGACAAACAGTTTCTTGTCATCGTCCTTGCCTGGAATGCCGGCCGTCCCCCGGTGCTCGCCTGACCCGCCTCCGGCACCACCTCCATTGCCGCCTCCACTGCCAGAACTCACGTCCTGATAAAAGTCCATCTCGGTAGATACTGGTGAAACTCCTTTTATCCTTCGGTTTATGGAAGGAAAGTTGACAGGATGGGCAGAAATTCAGGCCAACCAAGCGACCATCAACACAAGAACAGTTTTAGTTGAAAACAAAAGCCGGTTTTTGTGGAGACGCTCCGTTCCGTTGTTGAGCATGTTTGACAACCTACGCAGTCTACAAAGTTGCTCTGGAATGTTTAGAATGCTTCAAATTTCAATGTGTATCCCATGTCACACCTAAATCGGTGCCAACGCTTCTTATCTTCCCGTGCATCAGCTTTAGACTAAAATGGTTCATATACAATATATGGGCAAACAACAAGGATTGCTTTCAGAAAAAGGTGTTGGCTAACCGGAAATCAATACCGCGCCGCTTTGAATAGTTTGTTTTTTGCAAACTCTCTACAGGTTTAAGAAAACGCGAATATAGAAATACGTCCCAATTAAAACAGAGATAATACAACAGAATTATTAATCCACAGAGTAGAGAAAAATGTCAAACCAAAATTTTTCACAATAGTGTTTTAAATGGGACAGCCTAGAGTAGTGCTGAATTGGACGCCCTAGCAACGGGCTTAAAAAGCAAGAAGCTTGAGAATGCACAGCTACAGACGGCTAGTACAAACCTATTGGAAATTTTCGAAATTTTTGATCAGATAAGAGTGATTTTGAACTTTTAAAAATATTTTTCATCAAAAGTTGTGACATCCTCATAAAAAGGTCGTTTGGTTGTTTGGTTGGACGTTTTAGCAATTTTAAAACTAAAACTCGTTTGATTCGACATTTGACGGATTAAGTTGGTGTAAGTCCACCCGGATGTGGTAGTACTCCACATATGTGGAGTGCGGCATGACCACTATGTGGCCACGCTCCATGTTAAAATACCCAATGGGCAATGAAATGTCAGACTGATGTCAGAACGATATCAGTTATTAGAAACGTGTCAATTTTAGGACCACATTTTTTATCAACCTGATGCGAAAACCGACAAATTTCTGATATCTGACGTCGTTTTGATATCGGTTTGATATTGCATTGCTCACTAGGTAGGAACCGAAAATGTCCCTCATCCCCCCCCCCCCCCCCGCCAGAAATGCTACCTCTATACGACGTCTAATGTCCTATCTTTTGGACCATTTACCATTTAGACGTCTGGCTGTGTCAAGGTGTTAAAGGAATGCTCAATATAACGTCGTTATAGCTGTCCTAAAATAAATTAATGCAGGAACTTTGAGAGAAGCGGCTACATCAGTAGTTCTTTCATTAACTAGGACGAAATAGCCGAGATCGAACTGAAATTCTCACTTAAGGTCAGATGAGCTCTGCATTCGCTTTCCACTCGAACGCTTTTTGTTTTTGTTTTTTCCGCGTGCGACTTGGGTGTGCCTGCGATACACTGCGATACACTCGATGCACTGCAAGAAGTATACCCGCACAAGGTGGGAGGAGGGGGGAGCACCTTTAGTCCATTGGCTCTAATATGCGTTTACTTTACGCATCAACCGACAGTTCGGATAAGCTCGTGGTGAAGACGATTTTTTGACTGCTACGTCCACTGCGTCCATTATTAGGGAATGACAAGAGTTCTTGTCTCATACGGCTGCTCGCCCTCCCATTTCTAACTGGGCATTCCCCAACGTCGAGTGTTTCGAATCACTTCCCTTTCTCCATTTTCTTTCTACGCGCGATCAGTCCAAAGTATCATGAAGGGTGCTATTTTAAAACTGAGTTAGGGGTTGATTGATGTTCAGCTTTTTCTTTCCCCTCACACTCTAAGGAAGAAAGCCATGGGTTAAAGTGTGCGATAATGAGTCAACTCTCATCCCATGTATGTGCCCATGACTTTTTGGAGAGAACTATGGACATACATGTAGGGAATACCAACTCCTGTGGCGCTCGTTTCTGCGGTTGACGCGCACATCGGAAAGAGTACGGTCAATCGGCCCTAACCTGCCCCGTCCGGCCGCCCCGGCCCGCGTGCGTGCGAGAGAGACGCCGAGCGACAAGCTTGTGTTGATTCGACTGCACTCGGGCTCGAGCGAGGCGAAGGCGACTAGCGGCCGCTACGCGGGGTGCGTGAGAACGCGCTCGTGCCGTCCTTGTCCCTCGCCGCGGCCGCGATAGGGGTGCACGCGAGTGCGAGGGAAGCTGCGTCCAGACAAGAGGGTCGCTTGGGTTGCTTGGGTCGCTTGGGTCTCTGAGCCGGCGCAGAAGCCACGTTTTGGTTCTCTGCGCAGACCTCAGAGACCCCACAGCGACCCAAACAACCCAAGCGACCCAAGCGACCCTCTTGTCTGGACGCAGCTGGAGACGGCGCGTGTGAGCGGCGTGCGGGTGTTGCTCGCAGTGCTCCCTCTCGCCTCTTTAGCTCTTAGCGCCCTCTTGGACAGATCCATGTTCGACCTTGTTGCTCCGCAAGGCGCTGCTCCGAGTTTGCGAGCTTCTAGAAAGCACTGAAAATAATATCATGGCGATCAAAATGACGGGAATTTATCGGATTTGTGTTGTTTAAATACGTAAGAATTGATAATCGCTTGTGTTGTTGTCAGTTTGGAACTTGTTAAAAACTTGGAAATTTCAAGTTTGGTGCGTAGCGCCGTATTGTTTGTGAGACGAGAACTGACAAGGGAAATGAGATTAAACCCGCGGTAGTTGTCTTCTTTTCAGCTCATTCATCTGATGGGTAAGTTTCCATTCATCTGATGTACAGGGATGGGGACCTAGCGAATACTGGTGGGTACTTACTAGGCACTTTGGTTGGGGCCTAAAGAAGTATTTGTAATTTCGATGCGATTACCATTTCGGTGTCACAAAGTGCCTATCTTGAAAAGACAGTGGGACGGCCTAGCCTTCTCGTCTGGCCAGTACTTCGTGCGTGAGGTTTGTTTTCAATGCATTGTGAGGTTATAGTCGCGGAGGACAATTGTCACCCAATACCTGTCGCAAGCTGAGACTAAGATTCCGTGGCATTGAGGATGACCTTTCTTGTTATTGTGATTTTAGTATCATTTCGTCTAAATATTTATGCTTGAGGTGTGAACTTCAAATATTTATTTGCTTAACCTTTATTTCCTCTCCTTGAGGAAGGTTAATACTGAAGGCATCTTTGTGTTCTATTACTTCCTACATATACTTGAGATAGCGTTGTGTGAATTTTCTATCAGTTAAGTCTTAAATGACCAAATATAATTAAACATTTGTGGTCATATATTGATATAAATTGTCAGCATTTATGGTGCTTGTCAAAATGTTTGTTTGGGACTTAATTTTATTTATGTTATCTCATCCAATGCTGTCCTTTTTTTGTTTTGAAAGGAGGCATAGTTTAGAGTCCACTATTTTTGGTTTGCCCATTTTAATGTCAGGCTCAGCAAGAAAATTATATGATCATTTGCAATCATCAGCTGTTGTCCTCTACATTCCTGTTTTCATGCACAACTTAGCACTCCTTTTAATAACAATTCTGAATTACTTTACTTGCTGCCAAATCTGTCCAAGTGTTTTTTCTTGGACCTTATAACTGGATTGACCCGTGTCCTGGTTGTGTTTTATGTCTTCTTACCGATTTTGGACGGGGTACATTTTTGTTTACTAAGTTGTATATATAGAACTCAGCTCTATTAGCGTGCGAATGTGGCATCTTAATTAAGATGTTTTACATTTTGATAAATTTATTTGTGTTTTTTCCCCTTAGGTGCAGACAATTAGCAGATTGGGATGGCTGAATTCTTTCACAACAATGAAGGGTGAGCTTTCTAAATATTTATTTTAGAGCTTTTATATTTGTGTCTCCCATGTGTTAGACTAAAGTCAATTATAAGGTACGAAGAATTTTCCTAATCTTTAGGGTAGGATGCCATAATCATACTGTATCTGTAATCATAGGTTGTTATTGTTGTTGTTGTGTTGAAGCTTTGCATGATCATTTTTGTCGTGGTGAGGGCTAGAAGTTGATTTGGAAAATAAGAACAACAGTTTGATTTTATAACATCTCTATTTCTCATGTTTGTTAGTATTTATCTCACTTGGTCCAACTATTCCAATTGTAATTAATAATAATGAATTGTGGATAATATTAGTAATTTTATAAATATAAATGTTACTGGTTGAAATAACTTAACTTCCTTTAACTATTCATCTAAACGTAAACTATTTAAGTCCATCCAAACAAGGATACAGTTTTGTGAAATTCACCATCTTAATCCCCGTATATTTCAGCTAATTAAACAATGTAAGTGTAAGAGAAAATGAATTGGTTCTAAGAAGTAGCTAACTCACTATCATTAAAAAAAATTGCTTGGTTGAAACGTTGTGCTGTTTTAATAATTTAAAATCCGGAAATGTCCCTGTGACATGTTTTGCTTTGGGGCTGTGGGTGCCGAGGGTGATAGTGTGCTGCCCATGACACCGGCCGTCGCTACGAATGCTGGGCCTCGTCAGGGCCCAACCTACTCGCCCGAACGCGACAGTTGTTGCGCAGTGGCGTGGCGTGGTGTAGCGGGCCGAGTGAGTGCGCCGCGGCTCACAGTACACATAAATCGATCTGCGAGTCGTAGTGCGTGTGATGGGTTGCCTACCTGTAGGCGCGAGACGGAGCTACGTGAGACATCGTGAGGAGGGGAGGAGTGGAGTGGGTAGGAGAGAAGAGTGTGGGTGAAGCTGGGCCCGCACCCCTCACCCCCTCCGGCTCGCCCCTCGCCCTCCGCTCATAGTCGTGTGGCCACGCCAAGCTCTGTTTCTGCGCATATAGCAGCGGCGCTCGGACGAGCAAAACAACCTCACGCTTGATGACAAAACAGTGACATGGTTTCGCGTTTGGCCGCTCCCTCCCTCGCAGCGAGTGGTTTCTGTTTCGGCGCCCGCCCTGCTCCCTTCTCTCTTCCACCCTCGTCGCGTTGACCCCCCTCGCCCCCTCACCCGGAGCGCCACCTCCCCCCTCACACTGCGCGCTCCGCGCCGCAGCCTCCGCTGCTGCCTTCGCCGTCGTGTTGTTGTTGTTGTTGTTGTTGTTTCTTCTCTTTACCCCTTCCGCCCCGTGAAGTTGCGACGTGAGTCCACTCTGTTACGTAATTTACGGAGGGAGCCGTACGGCGGCTGACGGTGGTCGCCAGCTCGGTCCGGCCGGCACGGCTGCGCGGCTGACCGGCCGGGCTGTCCGCCATGTGCCAGCTGGTCTGGTGTGTGCCCGCTGGTACCCGCCGGTGCCCACCCGCCGGAGCCGGACCAGTGAAAGGTTCTCTATCGGGCCGCCCGGAGCTCCACGGAGGTCCCGGACACAGTCCCGGAGGCCGCGTCTCGTCGTGTCGTCTTGGTCGCGGTGCCGGTGATGCTGTCGGGTGTGCCTGGCGCGCGCCGAGTAGCCGGTGGAGGTCACGGAGCAGCAGCAGCAGCAGAGCGACATGCACCGAGCAGCGAACCCCATGCTGAAGGGCGCCATGTCGAGGTGGGCAGCCGACGACATCGGTGGCGGTTGGCCGGCTGGCCACGGGTTCGACTTGTTCGATCCGCTCGGTTTTCTTGTCCTTCCTCGCTCTGATTGATTTCAACAGGTGCTGTGTGATGGCCAGCTGTCGCGGTGCCCCGAGTGCGCCCCGCACGATAGTGCCCCGCACGGTGCCCGCAGGCGGAAGGCTGTAGCTGTCGCCGCGCTTTGTTCTAGCCGTGACAGGCAGCGCATCGTTCTCTTTTTCTTTTGTCTGTCGTTTCTTTTTATTTTGTCCGCGCGCTCCGCGCCCCTGACCAGTGGCGCATGGCATAGCGCTTGCGTCACCCAGAGGAGGAGATGAGGACCGGGAGCCGGGTTCTAATACCTGCGGGGGAAAGGGGAGAGGGGGGTCTGCTGCCCTTTTGTTCTGTGCGGGGGAGGGAGGGGGCAAGATCGAGGGCACTCGCACGTGCCGCGCGGCGGGTACCCCCAGGTGAGGGAGAGGGTAGCGCGGGGGGCGGGTAGCATCCCGATAGAGTCCTGTCCGAGTGAGAGGGTGGCTCGCCTCGGCGGTGGAGGAGCAAAGGGAGGGAGCGAGCGAGCGAGAGAGAGCGTCAGGTCGATATGCACACCCCTTGCCGCTCCCCGCTCCCGACCCCCCACCACCCCTACCCCGCCGCACCCCTTGCGCCGCATGGCTCCGCCTCACCCTGCCTCCAGCCCGCCTCACCCCCGCTTCGCCCCGCCTCGCGCGCCCCCGCTGCGCCCCGCCGCGCTCGCTTTTGTCCCGATGCCGGAAATTGTGCGAAAAAATACACGTTCTGCTCTGGAATAATTGCGACGTAACCGATTTGTATCGGCGGATCGCGCGGCGGCGAGCAGCACCTGCAGCTGCACTCGGATGGCGTCCTCCGCCTCGCGGGTGACTTCGGTGTGACGACGCCTGTCGCCATTGCGTGACGTAGCACGAACCACGCGGTACACTTCAAGGCGTGTTGTATGTCCTTAATTTTTCTGGTGGGGTTGCGAGGTGTCTTTTGTAGGTTACCGATCGCTCACCCTCCTCCTTCTCCCCCCTCGCTTCACCCCCTGTTTGCCCTGATACCAAATACTGTGTTTCGTTTGCGGAGTTGCGCCCCACAATGTAGCGCGCGGACCGAGAGAAAACCGCCCCTCTTATCTTCCCACACACTTTTATTTTGCCGGGTCTGAGGGCAAAGGGGAGGAGCGGGGCGGGGCGGGGCGGGTCCCTTTAAAGGACGACCCCGTGGCGAGGACGTGAATGTTTCATAGGCAACGCTGTGCGCCCCTCGCCTCCCGCCCGCCCCCGGCTGAGCGGTGCCGCTGAGCGCGCTGAGCGCGGCGCTGCCGGTGGTTTGCGCCCTACATGCGCCGCTGAGCCACCCACTCCTCTCGGCCCCGGGGCAGTTAGGACCCTGATTAGTCGAAGGGCGTAACGCGCCGCCGCCTCCTCCTCGGACACGACCGTCGTGATGCTGCTGGGGACCGGGCCGGGCTGCGCTGGCCGGCTGAGCTGCTGGCGTGGCGCGCGCCCGAGCTCTGCCCGAGCTTTCTCCAACATCAGGAAGTACCAGCGAGCTGACCGCCACCTCTCGCCGCGCCGCCGCCGCGCTGTCCGGCTGCCGCTGCCCCACCAGCTGCGCGCTGCGCCCCGGCCCTGTGCCACATGCAAACTGCTGGCCGCGGCGCATGCAAAGTTTTCTATCGCCTGCAGAGGTGGAGGAGAAGCAGGTCGCGGTGTAGGTGGAGTCGGCGGTGGTCGCGCACACAGGGCTTGGCGTGGCGTGCGTGTCCGGAGCGCCCGCCGGCTAGGCCACCCATTGGGCTCGGATGAGCGCCGGGGCCGGGGCGTCCCGGCGGGGGCCGCAGCGCAGTGGGTCTGTCTCATGGTGTCGAGTTTGAGAGAGAGGCGCCTGATAGTCCCGCGCTGGCGGGGTGGGGTGGTCCTCGCCCACACGGTCCCCGCTGCCGTAGGAATTTAAATCGGCCATCCTCCCTCCCTCGCCGCCGTCCTCGCCGCTGCACTGGATATGAGTGGGGCGCCTCTGCCGTGCAGACGAGGTTCTGGGCAGGCCTGCTTAGGTTGGCAATCTGGTGAAACAGGGGAAGAGATGCCGTCTTCTCGGGGGTTTTATTCTGGGGGCATTTCTGAGGGTGGCTTGTGATACGCGTATCCTACTCCGACAACTGTGAGACTTCCTAGAGATGAGCGAACAGGCCAGTACGAACCCGAACAAAATCATCAGCCCCAAAATCTTCGAACCGAACACGAAACTTCAAAATTTCTCCCAAACGAACCGAACTGATCTCTGTTACAATTTGCTCCCTCCCCCCAAAGCTGCAAACAATGTTTAAAATTGAGCAATGTAGTGATATCGGTTGATGTCCTAATAACCTAAGCGGGAATAACGGATTTAAAACACACCCAACACACTGGCACCCAAGTATGGAGTTCTCAATAATTATTTTTTGATTCAAGAATCATCGGGTGATGTGAACTAAATTAAGAAGCGGTGGCGGTGGCCGATCCTCATTTGCGACGCGAGTCCGGAGCGGGGCTACGATGCACGGGACTGAATTGTCAAAACCAGGGTGAAACGCAAAGTTGGAGTCGCACGACGGTCTAGACGCCCCAGACCGGAGACAGCACTTAAGACATTAATTGACTCCCAAGCAACGCGAGCAAAACACGAAAAACAAACCTGTTTCACCGTGGACCGCTCACGCCGTGCTGTCCTCGGCTGCGGCGGTTATATTCTGCATCAAAGCGAGCAAAGATGGTCCTCAGCCTCTTAACAGTGGCTGCAGTTGTTCGCATGTGAACATCTGTTCGAGCAGTCCACGAACATTTCGGATCCGGATCCGAACACCTCGTGTTCGAGTTCGAGCGATCACGAGCAGTTCGAGTTCGTTCGAACCTCTCACACTTTATGAAGTAGCAGACCATTCCACATGGTACTGCAGTTATATCTTTTGGGCAGTCTCACACTTTAGTTTCCAGAATGGAGATTTAAGCCTTGAAAAGGAAATTAGTCACGTTCACTATCTCGATATAGTGCGGTGTGTAGTTTTTCGCGGGAAAGGATCAATGTAAAAAAAAAATCCGTGGCATCAGCATTAGTTTCCAACTGTTAATTGAAACAACGGTTTGAGATTATCATTATTTTTTGCACTCGCAAGGTTTACGGCAAGAAAAGTGCATTTTGAAACTGTCCTCCTTTGTTGTAAAACCGTTGGATTGATTGCAGTTTGTTACATTTCAGAACTTTTACTGTATAATTAACAGTTGAAAATGATTGTTAATGCTGTAGATATTGTTTATATAGTAGGCGGGCAGATTGTGGAATTCGACGATAGTTACAAGATAGTAGTAATTAATTATATATATTTAGTTGTGTCCGTTGACGAGTCCCCGCGGTCCCCGCGTTAGTCAACGGTGAGTTGCCGGAAGGAACCCTGGCAGCCGAAGATCTCCTCCTGCAGGGCCGTCTTGTCACCGACGCGCCGCGACTCGTCGCTCTTCACGCCCTCCTGGGCCAGGAACCAAGGGCGGTACGCGTCGAGCTTGGTCCGCCACGCGTCTGCAATAGGGAGCGCCCAGCGTTACAAACATTGACATTTGTAGTGTTGAACTGGCAAACAATTAGCCAACAGGTAGTGTTCAACACGATTTCGCCCACTTGCCGGTGTGTTATTGGAAATGTTTGACCCACTTACAAAGAACTGCTCTTCGTAACGTACAAAGGATTTGGAACTCTTATAATATGGTGGTTCCAGATCCTTTGTACGTTACAAACCCAATTATTCGTAAAAAAAAAAAAAAGGCGACTCTTTGCAAGGAACTAAAAGTGCCGAAAAACTGCGAGTTGTTAGAACTGTTCAACTCAAGCGTTAAGCTTGGAATTTTCTTGGAAGTATTCCAATTTGTTGCCAAGAGCTCGGTCAAACACTTCCGAGAATGCTTTACACTTCACAGGTCAATGTATGGTGCATGATCGTACCGCTGAGCTCCTTGAGGCTCTTCTCCTCGCCGCCGTAGTCCTTGGGGAGCATGGCCTTAGGGACGTGCTCGAAGAAGCTGTCCAGGCCAGGGGGGTGGATGATGACCTGTGGATAACCGGACGCCGGTTAACAATTTACTTTGCTAATCAATAAGAAATTTTGTCGTGCCATATTTTGCCATCGTGCTTGCCGTACCCTGTCCTGGATCTTCTTTTTGAGGAAGGGCTTGATGAGGCCCTCGATGGTGCTCATGTACGAGGGCGCGTTGATGACGTGGATCTGGTGGATGCGCGCCGGGTACGCGGCCAGCGAGCAGGCGAAGAAGTTCTTGACGAAGGGGAGCACGGCGGTGAACTTGGCCATGTGGCCGGCCGTGTTGTGCTGCAGGTCGAGGACGCACACCTCGCCGGCGCACAGGTCCTCGCGGAACTTGACGTCCATCGTCATGCTCATGCGGCGGTACAGGTCCTCGAAGCTGAACTCGTTGAGGTCTGCGCCGTACGCGTCCGGGGGCGCGTACGCGTACACGTGCACGCGGTGCAGGGCGGGCGTCAGCTTCGGCAGCGTCACCACGTAGCTGCAACACGAGGTGATGTTCATGTGCATTACACTAAATTGGAAAGGACATTTAATGCATTTACTATCCGTAGAAATATTCCTCCTTCTCTTATATTAACCATGTCAAGTTTTGAATCCAACTTAGGTTGCGCGAGTTTGCATGTCTTTGCTTTAAGATGATGCAAATTTGTCGCTCGATAGATTCAAAATTTGTATGATGCGCGATGCGCGAAGCAGTTAAAGTCCTCTTCTTATTGCAGTTTATTTACCCTTGATCCGTAAATGTCCTATAGTCTTTAGCTTTCTTTAATTTTTAAACGATATGGGCAATATAGGATGTATTCTTTCCCCCTTTCCCCTTTCCGAAACGTGCCGCGCAGTCATCAATCATTCCTCGTTGTCGAAGAACTAGTGGCAATGTCAGGACACTGTCAGGAAGTGCGTGCTCATCCATAATGTCGCGATATGAATATTCCAAAGGGGTGCGTTTGCGGCTGCAGCGAGCGCCGCCCGTCCGCCCCCAGGGCAGCGGGCGCCCGCCCTTCGGGGCCTGCGGCGGTCGAGCGAGCGTGACGCGTCGGCGCGAAACGAAAAGAAAAAGGCTATAAATAAAAAGGAAATGGAAACAATAGTGTGATGAAGGTCTTCAACCGCCGTCGCAAGTTCGCCAAGCGCGCGCGTCATGTGTTTGCGGGGAGGTTTTTGCCTTGCTTCCTGGAGGGGTGACCTGAATTATTCGTGGCGGCAGTGACCCTCCGCGGCCCTGTGGGACCCCCGGGGGTCACCCCACGCGCCGCGGCCCCGCGCCCTCCAGGCGGCGCACTTCCCCATTGTCTGACCTCCCTTCCCTTATACCTCGCGGCCCCCCGGACCGGGCACACGCAGCTGTAAAGTATCGACCTGGCCTGTCATTGAGGGGAGTGGGACCGCCATGCGCCATGCGCCTCCGCACCGCACCGCCCGAGTACGCAAAGCGACCCATACCACTTTTCTTTTTCCGCACATGCAGACCCCCTCCTCCTGCGCCTGTAAGGGCGCTGCGGAGTACATCGAGAAGAGTAGTCTTTTTGTCTACATGGGAAATGATGCCAAATTGGGTTTCTTGTCCTTGACCATCACTGTAAACTGGCAGGCGTCTTTGAACGCCAACATTTTGCGTCCTTCCATATTTTGGCGTCTTTGAACGCCAATATTTGGCGTTCGTCAGACGACGCCAATATTTTGGCGTTAAAAGACGCCAACCAGTTTACAGTGGTAGTATTATCGCGATGGATGTTACAATCCCAAAACAAAATCTCTAAGATCGCCAAATAACGTGGTGGGTTCTTTTTAAATACAATGTTGGTTCAAAATTGTCCATCTCAATTGCTCAATGGTCTCGTTCCCCCGCCGGCTCGTCGGCCGGAAGGGGCTCTGGGCGCCGGCCGGCGGCGCCCCCGCGTCGGATTGACGTGAAAATGGCGCACCGTTAGCCGCGGCTCGCGGCCGCCGCGCGGACAAACGGCCCGGCCAAAAAAGAATCAGCGGTTCCGCGCCGGCCTGGGGGCTTCGCCGGGCTTTCTCTGCGACTACCGTGCTGTGAGCAGGTGTTAACTCTGTGTCGACCGCGGGGTGGAGGAGGCTGGCGGGCAGAGGGACCCCCGTGAGGGACGCTCTTGTCGTCCACCCGCGCACCGGCGCTGCCGCGCGCCGTCTGCTGACCTACTTTAGTTTTCCTTCGGATTGGGGTCGGCAGGCCACGCCACGCCGTCGCACCCTCTGCTGGCGCTGATTATGAGGTGTGCTGCACCGCCTGGCCTCGCCAGTGTGGTGCAGTCTTTATCCAGGGCCAGCGTTGCGCTTCCAACGGCAGTTTATGTTCTCCGGGAGCGGCGGAGACTACCAACTAACTACTCACGTGTAGTCGAAGGTGCGTTTGAAGGCGCTCGTGTCCGAATCGCGGTCGGCGAAGATGGCGGGCGCCTCTGAGCGCACCGTGAAGTAGCAGTCCAGGCCGCGCTTGGCGCGCTCCAGTGAGTTCTTGGAGCAGACGAGGTAGCGCTCCAGCCAGGGCAGGTCTTCCTCTGAAACGGGGACGTGTTTCATGAGCCTGCTTTGAGCCCCGGCGGCGCGACACCCTGGTGTCCTCCTGGGTCACGCACGCTCTGCTTACCTGGTACGTCGGGGAGGTGCGGCTGGTCCAGGAGCCACTGGCGCAGCTGCAGGGCGTCGCGCTTGACGCTGGCCGCGTCCGTCTCCACACCGGAGTAGATGCGCTGCTCCTCCTCGGCGGTAGCCGCCGTCCACATGTCGGGGCCCATCTTCGCCATGGTGCTCCTGGTGGTGACGGTGCCTGTAACATGGGCAGACCCGTTAGGCATGGGGTCGGCGCACCAGCTGAAGAGGCCCCGGCGGCGTATAGGCCGTCCCGTTGAGCATGGGTGCCAGACGGGATGGCCTGACCAGAAGGCGGCTGGGAGCCCCTGTGGCGACGGCCGTCCCGTCAAACACGGGTGCCGTGCTGGCCGGCCTACTCAGAGGGTTCCCTGCAGCGTAGGCCGTCCCGTTGAGCACGGGTGCTGTGCGGGCGGGCCTACCCAAAGGGGGCCTTGCGGCGTGAGCCGCTGCTCCTCTCGCGTTTCTGTCTGCCCGCTGCGATTGCTTGGCGGTTTTCTCTCTTTCTCCGTGGGATTACACACTAGCTGTCCTCACCCTGCCGGGTTGCAGCAGCAAAGCATTGTGCAGATAGCGCAGCCAAGGCCGTCGCCATGGCGACCTGCGTCCCGACGGTCCCGACCCTAATGACATTTGACGCAACGGAGGGAAAGGGTTGCTGGCGTGTTTGTGAAGAGGGTGGTGCGTGGCGCGCTGCTGCTGCTGCTGCTTCGCTTTTGCTCGCCTGTGTGCAACAACCTGCAGTGTATGCGGCGTTTGATGGCAAGGTGTGTGCACTCCCTTATTAGAGGCGGTGCTACGGGTGTTCCAGAGGCGGCGTCGGGGCGTTCCGCGCCGCAGGAACACCTTATCATCATGCGCGGCGGGGTTTTCCTTCCGTCGCAGTGGCGCTGCTCGCGCGTCCTGGATCTGGTTCCGTCATTTGCACAATGGCCCCGATTGGATTTGGAGCGCTAGGGGAGGCCACGGCGGCATTCGTACCAGCGACCCCGTGTGCCACATTCCTAGGGCGCCAAGAGACATCTAATGCTCACCCCGCCCCCATTTTCCTCCCCACCCGTCCTTTGGATTTACTCCGTAGTCTCTACTATTTAAACGTGTACTTGTGAATTCATTGATATACTTTCAAATCGAAAACCTGCAGTTAGATATTTAATGTTTCCTTTTTCAGGTCTTAATGTGCAGCTCTCTCTGTCTCTCTCCCTCTCTCTCCCCCCCCCCCCCCCCCCCCCCCCCCCCCCCCCCGCTCTCTCTCCTCCTCTGTCTCTGCCTGTCGCTCGCTCCGCTCTCTCTCTTCCTCTGTCTCTGCCTGTCGCTCGCTCGCCCCCGGTCCTTATCTGACCTGTCAAAACTCATCCCGCCGACTCCATTCCGGACCCTCGCGCCTCTCCGAGTCGTGCAACAGAAAGCTTTTTATTGCTCAATTTTCGCCGGGCGGATCTTTTCTCTTTCTTTCCGTTCGCGCGACGAGTCTTTTAGCGCGCGCGCGCGCGCGCCCTTCTCTCCGGTCATATCTTCCGCTTAACAATGTGGAATTCGCTTTAAGAAATCCGGTTATCTGCATTGAAGAATATTTCTAGATGATGGAAAAATAAAACGAACGACGCAATCGGTGAAGTATGTAATAAGGTTTCATCAGAACGGAAGCGGCAGGTATATTTTTTCTGTTACCTCGCCGAAATATTTATCTCTGTGACTGCGCGAGGTGATTTTGAGGCGAAAGCTCCGCGCCGTTCCGCCCGCTTGTTAGTTTTTGGCCGTGACTGTGCGCCCCACCGCGCCACGCCGCGGCGGGGGGATGCGGAGCGGAGCGGCGCGGAGCGATGCGCCGCTCCAGGAGAGAGATGTAATTGCAATTTTTAAGAACCCTCCCCGCGACGGGCTGTGCGCGGCACACTGTTACAATAAATGTGCTTACTTCATTTTCTTTCTCGTTTACTTTTCGCTCGCGCGGGTCTTTGCGCGTCATGCGATATGTTTCCCTCCCTCATTAATCAGTTGGAAGCCTCTTCTCCCTTCTGGCCTCCCTCCCCGTCCTGCGCCCTGCGCCCGACGCTTGTATACGCGAATGGGCGCTGCTGGTCCACCTGGGACGCCGAAGCTGGAGGCGCTGCTGGAGGGTCAAGTACTCCGCCCGGACCCCGCTGCTGCTGCTACTGCAGCGGAAGCGTTTAGCCCAACCTATTCCTCCCTCCTCTTCTCTTCTTTTCTTCTCCGCGCCCGCCGCCGCCCCGTCTTGCACGATTGGGGTCCTATCATTGTGATTGGCGGACCGGACGCACGCGCCAGGACGCCGCTGCACCACAAGAAAGCGACTGTCGGTAGTCGAGCTGGTGGATCCTCCCTTTCGGATGGTACTGCTTTGCGTTCGCAGCAACTTATCCTTACGTTGTTTGTCACATTGTAAAATAATCTTGTCTTAAACGACTTTGTGAAATTTGATTTTACTTTTTCGGCTAAGGCCTAGGCCTCACCTCAACATGCCATATGGTTTAAATATAGATATCAACAGTAATCTTATAGGCTCAAAGCGAGAAGTAAGGTTAGACCTGTTGCGTCCTTTCGTAGCAAATTTCCGCATACTTGTAAATTTGTGATTTTCGTTTTCTAAGCAATTTTTGTTTTAAAACGATGTCCTTCGTTTGATTATTTAAGCAACTAATCGTACGTAGTATAGAAAAACAAGGCAATACTTTACTATGAAAAAAACCACCAAAACCCGTACGAGAGATTCTTACACCGTAGGAAAAAGGAATAAAATTCTCACCTTAATGCACCCAGAAAAATGAATTCTTGAATTAAGCCTAGCCGAGTGCTTGAATTGTGTACAGTTTCAATCAAGACGTTTTTAGCTCACAACAAGAATCTCTGTCTAGATTCAAGCTAGGCGTAGCGCAAGCATCGGCTAGTCTTGGTTGAAGCCAAACCCACGTTTTCCCGCCCGCCGTGTTCGTGTACGTGGTGCACGTTCTCAGGATCGCTTCGGCTGAGACCCGACCCGAATCGGACTCCTCCGCTCCCTCTCTCTCGATTACTTGCCTAGGCGTTGTGGAATTATCGGGAATTATATTTTCTGACAAAACGGTAACTCAGTTGTCTCTCTTTCCCAAGTTTCCAGAAACTTAGTCCATCCCCTTTTAGGCCGTTCACAACTACAGAGGCACTGATTTGGAGAAACTGGTTGCGCTCCGGCCTGGGATCGAACCCCTGCCGGACCCGGCTCACTATCCAGCCGCCAGGCACAGAGACCACTGAGCTACCACGACAGGTGACGGGACCGCCGCTCTCTGCCAACCTGATTCGGATGATTCGGATACAGTCCAGCTGCTACTACCAACAGTGCGCTGGACTGGCGCGCTCCGTTGTCGAAGCGATAGCTCAGTGGGCTGAGGCGCTGGCTCAGACCGACGGGGCGTGGGTTCGAGTCCGGTCGGCCCCCTACTGACTTTTTGACTCTCGTGTTGCTCTGCGCACCGTATGAAAACAAGCCGATAGCATTCTTGCGTAAACCAAGAAAATATTCTTGGATTAAGAATGCCTTGCCAATGCCTAAGTATTCTAGGAAAAAATCTGGGGATAACCAAGCGCAACTCTGTCTCCCAAACGAACAGCGTAAATATTTGGTTAGAAATAATATATGCAAGAATCAAGCCGAATTTCTTGAAGTGAGAATTTTTATTCTTGGCTTGCAATATAAATTTGCCTTGAACCAAGCAGTGTTCGTTTTGATCCAATCTAAGTAAATGAAGCCTAGGTTTTTCTTGATCGGACGCTTTTTTGGGTTTGGTTCAGCCGAGGTGGAAATTTTCTTATTTCAAGCCAATTTGGCTTGATCTAAGAAATCTTTTTTCTGTTCAAACAAAATCTTCCCACCCACCTTTTAATACTAAATTTTCACTCAGGTATCTTTATTTTTTGAATATGAACTCATCAGTAGAGCGGCGTTACAGAGAAAATTCCTCTTTTAGAGCAAGAATGTGATTCAATAATTAGGGAACGATAAAAAATTTGCTCTGTGTCGGAAAAATTATTACCACCCACTTCCGGTTTTATAGGAAGACAATGATAGAAGTGGAACACCGCGGAAATTGCCTATCTCAGTGTCTGCATTTAATGAATTAATTGATAAATTTCAGGCGGACGTCGCCTGGACACCTCCCCGGCCCGTGGCGGAAACACGATTACCGATTGGGATTAGCCCCCTTAATGGCGGCGGCTATCGCCCCCCTCAAGCCGTGTGGCGAGTCTCATTGATCGAACTAACTAGGAGGGGGGGGGCGCAACAGGGAGAGGTGGGTCGACCGGGCAAGCAGCAGTTGACTCTAGCGTGGCGAGGGCCGAGGGCAATATTTGGCTAGATTTGTCGGTCGCGTCAATAGCTTTGATCAACACTCGGCGGGGGCTGGCGGGCGAACGAGTAGACTTTGTCTTGGAAGGGGTGTGAGTGCTTGCAAGGTGCGGGATGCGTAAAGCTGGCGAAAGGGGGGCGATTCAACCCCATCCGAGCCGTTGGACTAACCTGTGTGGTTTGCTGGCGGGGTGGTGGCTGCGGTTGGCTTGCGGCTGGTGCTGCGCGGGCTGCTGGAGGGTCGCGGACGCACTGGTTGATGGGCCCTGCAAGGTACTCGCCAGGTACCCGCCAGGTACCCGCCAGGTACCGCGCGCCCGCCGACGCTCGCGGCCCGAGCGGGGCACCGAACCTACCCGAACACGCCGCCGACCATTTGGCCGCCGGCGTGCGGTGGCGGCGGTGGGTCTGGAAGGGGGAAGGGGGGGGGGTCTCCTGATGTTTGTGGGGCTTGCTTGGTAAAAAGTGCTGTTGCACTGTCTGCACTGCTGCACGCCCTTGGGGGCCGCCGAACCAGAGAAAGGCAGAGGAGACACGAGCCAGACTGACCACGACTCTGTGTGTGTGTGTGTGTGTAACAGAGAGAGAGAGGGAGGGGGGTTGTACTGGTGGGCCGGTGGTGGGTCTATTCTCTGTACAGACTTCTGGTGATAAAGGGGTGGGAGTGACGCTAGAGCGAGACACTTATAGAAGAGACTTGCCTCAACCCTCTTTCTCTCGGTTAAGTCGACACGCTGCAAAGAAAATAGTTTACAAGCATTTTATACGATGTGTTCAACTATTTAAATACTAAAAAGAGATTAACAGTGAACCTCAACTCTCAAAAGTGTTCAATTACAGGGTTCGATATGCAGCTTTGGACCCATCAAACTGTTAAATTTACTATTGAACAGTATTGAACCAAGTATTAAATGACAGTCTAGAACGGACCAGAATGGTCCAGAATAAGGAGCACTTCTGATCTTCATGAGGTGAACAGTTTTCCAGCTGTTAGTGGCAAAATTGTGTTATGCATTTGCACTAGGCGTTCAACTTGTAATCTCTTTTCGACGTTTTCGATTCGGCAGTGCACGAGCAACAGCCAGGGAAAGCAAGCGAGAGACACTCGGGTGTGCAAGACGAGCAGGGCAGGGTGGAACGGAGATGGTTCCTCCGACTCACTTTGGCTGGAAGACAGCTAGCGGGCTCCTCTGCCGGCTTGGCCCAGTGGTCCTGTTAGAGTACGGTGAACGCTGTCCAAATTGAGCCCAGCGCCGTGGCGGCCCTCCTGAAGCGGAAGGGGCCCTGGCGAGGGAGGTACACCCCGGACAGGCCGGCGGAGCGGACGCTTAGACCTCTGTGATTCATCATCGTGTTCCCAATCTAGAAATTAATTTTTCATTTTTTATTGTGTCTTTCGCGGTTAAATTATGACGCGTGTCACCTGCTGGAAGGCAAAGGTTGCAAATAAATCGCAAATCCGTCACGCTGTGATAAAAGCGCGCCGTGGGCCCTTCCTTCACTCCCCCCCCCCTCCTCCCCCCTCCCTTTAGTCACATTTTTCTCTCCCCACTCCTGTTCGCGAATTGCTTGCCTTAGTATTTCCCGCGAGATGACTCATCCAGCCCCAGCCCCCCTCCACCTCTCTCACCCTGGCCTCTCTCGCTACCGCGGCCCGCGAGTTCTGTTTCTCCCTGGGGCTCCCCGAGGCCCTCCGCGCGCCCGTAAAAATGAGAATATGCACCATTTCGTCGGGCCCTGAATGGCTAATTGTTGGCTCAGCGCAGTCGCGGATGAAAACTTGATGTGGGAGCCATACTGGCATCGGGCTCATGCTTACAGAGACGGGGACCATGGGCCAACTCCCTCCAACCCGAACCCGTCGATAGCTGCACGAATCGCTCTTGTCGGAATGCGCAACATGTATGGAAGTTTGCATGTTCCCAATCGCGTTCGAAGGCGACCCTCTGCCTTTTTGCAAGCCAACAAGCACAACCCACGGCCGTCGTCTGTTTTTAAATTTTTAGTTTTGGCAGTGGAGACGATTCACTCATTTTTGGCGGTGTGTTTGTTCGTTCCGCCCATGCACGGTACCCTACGGTGCTCACAAGGCCCTGGGCCGTAACGACCCGCTGCAGGTACCCTCTCATAAATTCGCTGGTGGTGGCCAGGCTGACGCATCGTCGAAATCAACGCCTGTTTGAGTTTACATTTAGTTCAAATAAAATATTAACAGCAGCTATAACAGTTGCAAATCTACCGCACGAAAAATGATAAACGACATAGTTGATTGTCGGTTGCGAAAACGATGCAAGGGCGGAGTGCACTTCTTGCAAGTGTTCAAGTTTATGCACTTGAGAGTGTGAACTCTTCTGTTAAACAATTCCTCATATGGGAATATATGGGACGCACACTGTGCATACCTACAAAAGCACCATTGCTGGTGCACCACTACATTTCCAAGCGTTCACTGGTTGTACCTATCAGCGGCTGCGACCTGTGCGGTGTTGAATTTCAATCTGGTGCGTTATGACCAACAAGGCATGATGCGCCTAATTGGTCAAAACTTGTCGGTGGTGGCGAGTGGAGCGGGGTGCTCTGACGCACGTGACGTTCGTAACGCACTTGCTCGACCTGGCGGCCAGGTGTATCAAAACTGGAACTGGGCCGACACCCGTCCCAAATCGTCTCGGTGCATGTTATCGGAAGTCACCGCGGACCGCGGAGTCACTTCCCTCTGCCATTTCTTGTCCGCTGCGCCCCTGGATGTTGACGACAGCATCGTGTGATTGAGCGGCGAGCATATGAGAGAAAAAGAATAAGGGAGTAGAAAAGGACGGCCTCTTTCCTTAATTTTGTGGCGCCAGTGTGAAAGCAGGCGGCCTTTCGTCTGCTAGTCGATGGGGCAGTAAGCGAGTGTCTAATAGCCGTTTTCTCTTTGTTCCTGTGCAGGTGAGTGTCGCGTGCAGCTGTCGCCCTCCTAGGCTGGACCGGACAGCGACGACGTGGTGTGGTACGCTAAAAAACGAGGTGTTATTTTCCCCCGCACCCTTTACAGTGTTTTTCTTTTTTTTAAATAAATCTGCGGGGTGCTGAGTGAGAATACTTGTGTCGCCTGTGCCGCAGGGGGCGTTAATAAGTGGCAGTTCTCCAACTTTTGTTTGCTCTCGATAAACTTCCCCCTTTGCTTTCTGTGCCGACGACACTTTTTCCTTTTGTACCTCCCCCGCCTTTTTTCCTCGGAGCTGTCTCCCCTCATGATGGTGCCCTCGCTCGACCTGCTGCTGGCCCGCTCTCCGACGCACTCTCCCCGGCGCCGTGGCGGTAGGCAACCCATCGCGCCCCGCAGTGGCGCCGGGCGGCCCCGGCTCTAGGAGCAGCCCCCCGCCAAGCCCCGCGGCACGCTTCTTACATCACTCTCTTACTCTCTTGCCCCACTTTCATTTTTCGCGGAGGGGGAGGGGGGCGGTACGGCATATCTCCCCATTGGAATGTGTGCAACGATCGCGGCGTGCACCAAACCGGGTGGAAAAAAATGTCGGTTTGCAGCCGACGAACGGACGGACGGACGCTAGAGAGCTTCTGCACTTTTATTGCTTAGAGGAACTTTCGAACGGGTCACGACAATTTGTGCGCCGCCTCTGTGATGTGCGCTCGGAGATGTTTTCGTGTGCTGTTGGCGGTGCATGAGGAGGAGAAAAGGAAAGAAACGGGCGATGCGGGGAGGAGAGGGGACGGCTGACGTATCGGTGAATAATGAGAAACGGCTGCGGCGCTGGATATGATAACGACGGCGCCCGGTTGGCGTGGTGCTGGCGCTGCTGCTGCCGCTGCCGCCGGCACGCTTTGAAGGTGCGGAGGAACTTCGATGGAGGGCGGAGTGTTCTTGTCAGACGGCACCGCCGGCTACGTAGGCAACCTATTCGACTCTGTCGCGAGGCGGCCCAGCAGCAAGTGTTGAGGATCTACTGCAAATAGAGAGAGAGGTGCTTAGTATCAGACACACACTGTATTTTCAATCTAAACTACTTAATGAATGGCCGATTTCATGCTGATGAACCCACTTTCCCGGTCTCCTTTGACGTCAATCTAGGCAGTCTACTAGGGGCCAATGCAAGGCCCCACTCAGTTCTAATGTCATCATAGGTTACTTCCACCCACATTATGCTTTTCCTGGCCGACGTGTTTTCAGAATTAGAGGGGTTTAATGTCGTTTTCAAGGCATCGGCCCGGATCTCGGGTATCGGTTTAGTGAGCATCCCCCTTTAGTACTTCATAGAAGCTAGAGCAGGTTATTGCCTGGGCTGGGACCGAGGGGGAAACGACTAAGGTAATCCGGCTGACAGCCATTAGGTAATCCGGCAGGGGTAATCCGAGGAAATTCTAAAAAATCTGGGGTAATCCGGAGAAATTTGGGGGTAATCCGGGAAAATTTGGGGGTATCCGGGGTAATTCTAGAGAAAAGGCAACGTAATCTGGAGGACACTCCGGAGGTAATCCGGGTAATCCGTAATCCGGCTGACACAAAGTTTAACAGTTGTTTCCCCCTCGGCTGGGACGATTACAAAACACCAGTAGGGATATGAGACTACGCACCCTTTAGTCGACGGCCAGGGTGCGGAAGGAGCCTGGGCAGCTGATTTCGTCCATGAAGCTGGAGGTCCCCACCCTCTTGGACTCGTCCGTCCTGATGCTCTCCTGGGCGAGGAACCAGTCCCTGTTCTCCACGAGCAGGCTGCGCCACAGACCTGGAGAGCACAACCCCATTAGTTCCTCGATGACGTTGTCGAGACGTACTTCTCCCCCTCTGCGGCGCTCACCGTTGCCCTCGCGCAGGGAGGGACCCTCGCCACCGTAGTCCTCGGGTATGCATTCGGCCGGGATGTTTTTCTTGAGCTCGTTGCAGCCCGTGGGGTCGACGATAATCTGCGTGGGCAACAGTCAGTTTTTGTACCAAATTTACCCAAGTTGATATTCCCCCCCTCGCGGAGGTTGGCACGGTGAGCTTACCCGGCTGTACAGCTTCTCGCGCATCACTGTCCCGAGCAGGGTCATGATGGCGTTGAGGAACGGCGGCAGGTTGATGAGGTAGAAGTGCTTCAGGCGCAGCGGGTACATCTTCTGCGGGGGCAGACAGCAGACACATGAAACTGTAAATTCGGTAGCCATTTAAAATTCAAGTTTTTCCGTTGGTTTAAAAGTTTTAGTTTTTTATCGTTTTCTTGAATCATTTTGTTTCTGTTTTCCTGGAGGAGGCCACCGGTAATATACATTTGGAGACGGAGTACTCACCAGACCCGCGCGGACAAACTTGCTGAAGAGGCTCATGGCCAGGGTGAAGTCGCGGAAGCGGGAGGCGTTGCCGTTGGCCAGGTCGACGACGATGATCTCGCCGGCGGGCAGGTCGTCGCGCATGAGGATCTCGCCCATCATGAGGGCGCGCCGGAACAGGGCCTCGACTTGGAAGCCCTTGGCGTCGGCCGTCGGGTACGCGTAGTAGTGGACGCGGTAGCCGTCGGGCGTGAGCCTCGGCATGGTGGCGATGAGCGTCGTGTCGAAGCTGCCCTGCACGTCCGGGGCGGTCGGGTCGCGCTGGCGGAAGAACTCGGGGATGGTGGAGCGGCCGGACAGCAGCACGTCCAGCGACTCCTTGGTACGCTCGATCGAGTTCTTGCAGCGGAGCAGGTACATGCGCAGCCAGTGGTCCACGTCGAGCCCCGTGCCTGTGGCGGCCAGAGAGGCGGCGGCGGGCGGGGATTGTCAGTCTGATGCACACAACCGTGCGGTCCTTCACCCTACTCCAACCAAACCACCCCCCAACCCCACACCAACCCGGCGCTCCTGAGCTCTGTGACATATTGTCGAATACAACTTGTTTGTTGTTGAATTGCGCACGCTGTGAATTGTGGCTGCGGCAAATTCAACAAATTACTGGACGATATCATTTACGAACTTCAAACGTTCACAATCAACTCTTTCGTGACTTTTGCGTCTATAAACAATCAACGTATTTGTGCAATGATAAGGCAGTTTTGGTTATCATAGGTAGATGTACGCCAGAGACCACGTCTCGCGTAACAGGCTTCGCGATATCTCACGAAATACTGTTACGCTGTGGAGCGCCTGGCATACATCTACCTAGGCTTGCCGGGAGGACACCGGAGTCGGCCAAAAGGCAGAGTCATAAATAGGCATTCGGCCCCAAAATCCACAAATTTTTCTTCCCAGGGTTTTATCATGACAAGTTACCCGTTACCCCACCGGATACCATTAAATATTTAAAAAAAAAAAAAAAAAAATTGAGGTCATTTCCGTGTGGAAAACTCCCTCTCGCGCCTAAACGGTCCAGAGCGAAACGGACGGGTTTTACTTTGACAAGTTACCCCTTAGGAAACCTTTATAAAATCTTTTAAAATTATATGTTGATAGCAGCCAAACAAATTTGTTACTGTAACATTGCACTCATTTGTTTACAAAGGAACGTAAGCTCGAGAAGGAATCTGAGAGTGTTGCAATTACGCCACAATATGGTGTCCTGATTAGTTGTGCAGATAACAATTTGGAGCAGTGCGTGAGCATGCATGATGCAGCTACTCTGCTGAACAAGCAGCCGTGCAACCCCGATTGAAGTTTGAAGTTGGCAACATCCCTCTCACCACCGCCCCCGCGCGCAGCGAAGCGCACTCACCCAACCCCGATGGCGGTAACGCGCTGCTAGACCCTCTTCAGCTGGTCACGCACCGACGCGCGCGGGGGACACAGACAAACACCTAGACACACACACACACACACACACACACACACACACACACACACACACACACACCCTTCCACACCACACTCCCGCGCACACTCACACACCTAGACTCTCACACAGTGTCGACAGTCGGTTTTGGCGCGCGAATTTGAATGAGTCGCCTGCTGATCCGTATGCCACGCGCGCACATCGCCGCATTGTGAAAGGCGCGCACGGGCTCTCTCCTTCTCTCTTTCTCCTCACCCACACTGAGCTCTCCCCACTGTGGCTCACGCTTTGGCTCCCACTGTGGCTCCCGCTTGGCTCCAAGTGGCTCCCAGTGGCTCCCAGTGGCTCCCAGTACTCACCGTCCAGCTGCGGCAGGTGCGGCTGCAGCGCCATCCACTGGCGGATGGCGGCCACGTCCCGGCGCAGGGTCTCCTCGGAGGCGCCCAGCTCCCGGTACAGCTGGTCCAGCTGCGCAGGCCGCAGCGGCTCCCAGAACGCTCCTCCCTTCTGCGGCATCTGCAGAGAGGCGGCCCGGGCGGGCGGATGGGGTTAAAGCAGGGTAGATGGGCCATGTGTGTAGGGGAGGTTCAATAGCTCGCTATTCCTGGAGCTCTTTGGCGCCTCTTCGGCCCTTACGTAAGCTCCAGGCCGTGCCGCTTACGCCCTTGGCCGTGCGTCGCATTGTGTCACTCGCTGTCCAGTCTAACGCCCCCTTCACTCCCCCGCCCTCCCTCCTCTACCTCCGCTCCGGCCCGCCTGTCAGCGCCGTGACTGAACACGGTGGGCGGCACGGCGGGGACTGGACGGACTGGACAGAGGGCACTGGGGACATGGCGGGGATGCTCTTGGATAACGCGGCGTCCTCCCGGACACGAAGGACGGCCACTTTTACATCATCACGGTCACTAACCCTGCTTCAATTTTGATTTATGGTGAACGCCGAACGCGAGTTACAATCTTATCATGCTGTTGCTAGCAATGCACTGGGTTAAATTGTTGCGAAGATACCGTCTGTATCGGGACATTTTTTGGACGAACTTGGGAGTTTTTACAGTACGTTTTTGAGACTTCAAATTTTATCGGTAATGGTTGACTAGTTACTTTGTTGAATGGTCGCGATGGCTGTCCGCGACGCACTGCCAATAAATGGCTATTCAAGTTCGACCCCCTTGCCCGGGTCGCTGGCGTTCTGTCCTCCCTCGGTAGCCCCAAACGCTCGACAAGGCCGCCGTAGCCAAGTTTAAATCTGGCTACAACGAGATTTCCCCCCGGCCGGGTCGTGCGTCTCGTTACCTGCGCGAGGGGTAGAGCGAGGGGTCGGCCTGGGGGTCGCTCCGGTAGGAGGGGGTAGTAATTCCCTCGACGTGACCCCTTAATTGCGCCAAAGTTGGTGGCACTTACCCCGGTTTCGGCGTCAGGCTGGGAAACTAAGTAAACGCAAGTTGGTTTCCTCCTCTCGGTGTGTTTACAAACGAACTGCGGCCCTCGCCCAGGCCGCCCCGAGTATATAGACCGCCCCTCCCCTCCTCCTCTACCCGCCCGTCAACTGGAAGGGGCTCCTTGGCGCTCCAAGCGGGCGTGGCGGGGCGTGGCGGGGCG